GGGGACTTTTACCAAGAGGTGTTGCACTGTCTTTCATCGATAATCATGACACACAACGCAGCCATGGAGGAGGAGGTAATCCACTAACATATAAAGAACCTCGTGAATACAAGATGGCAGTTTCATTCATGTTAGCTCATGATTATGGTGTACCCAGAATAATGAGTAGTTACTATTTTACTGACAGTGAGGCAGGACCGCCTTCACATCCAGATGGATCCACAAAAGATGTGACATGTTTTGATGAATGGGTATGTGAACACCGATGGAGACAGATCACTGGTTCTTCATGGTTCCGTAAGGTTACACATGGTACTGGTGTTGACAATTGGTGGGACAATAATAGTAACCAGATCGCCTTTTCTCGTGGTAGCCTGGGATGGTATGCTGTGAACAACGATGCATATGCCATGGACGCAACTATATACACTGGATTACCTGCTGGTACATATTGTAACCTGTATGTCTCATCTTACGATAAAGACACCAAAGCCTGCGTCGATAAGGAAAATGTTGGTACACCGTCTACTGTTACTGTGAAAAGTAATGGCGATGCCTCGGTTTATATACCCAATAATAGCAATCCTGTCATTGTAATACATGTTGATGCCACTGTATAAAATATATAAATATATGGCATCATGGTGGTAATAAATAAAGTCTAAATCGAATTGTGTTTTGTTATCTATCACACACACACACATGGCTTATAAAAGAAATCAGGCTGGTGTTTACAAGAAGTAAAAAAAAAAAATTAATATGTGTCATGTCACAAAATTTTATGTTGTGCTCTTTTGAGGGAATTCATCCCGGACACGCGTTATTGTTGTTGTAACATACGCTATTTGTGAAGGTTTAATACTGTAACAACACAATTTGGTTTTTACATGACAGCTCATGGCTACGCCTTGATATATAGATTGGTCAAGCAGTCCCGATATGCAAATATCACTGTAATTGACACACTGTGAGTATAGTAGTTGTATTAAACGTCAGTCAATAAAGCTATTTACAATCAATAGCAAAGTAACAGAACCAAAATGGAACGTTAATTGACGCTTTGGAACCTTTTCAAAATAAACGTTTGCCTGATATATGGTTTGATATCATGTTACTGTATCCAAAGTCTGGTAACGGAAGGAAGAGAACAAAAGAACAGAACATTTTTTATGCTGCATTCCCACACTTCCAGATGACGTGCCACGTACGTGCTATTTGAGGATTCTCTGCCAGACGACCTGTTATGAATTGATAGCATAGTTTTATGGAATGAAGCCGCTATGGTGTTCACCGAAAAACAATAGATGCAAACTTATTTAACACGTGCCCCAAAATATCATAGTTGTATTGCATATTTAATGAAACTGCTGAAGTTAATTGGTTATGTCATGCAAATAAAAATGTTCATTCTATGTAGGTCTGAAAATGACTGATATCGGCTATTATAAGAATCGTTCTCCGATGACACGCCTTTACCTTGATAGAAAACTAGGCTATGAACTAAAATCGTTATGGAATCGCACATCTTTGAACGCCTGCATTGATCATAAAATGTTTGTCTAGCAAATTTGCCTGCCACAAGACAGCTCACCCCTTACTGCTTTTGCCGAAAGGATGATTTAATTTAAAATCAATCCCACGAACTTGTGTGTAGCCTTTACTGTCGGAATTAACACCTTTAAATTTACTATTCCAGATGCGCTGTAAGAAATTGATATAAATTGTATGAACAACGTATGAATTATTTAGACCCGGTAATTAATTTTAGTCAATAATATGAGGTTATTACGAGGAATACGTAAAGTATGCACGAAGAGAGTACGTATTATTATACATTTCCCACCATACCGTGCCGCAATTTTGGGGTATTTTACGGGGTATTTTTATTCTACCATATAAAGAAATGCGAATTCCAAATATGAATGATTACGCGCGTAAGCTTCCTCTCATGATAAAACATATATCCGGACCATTTTATCCACATTTTACTCTGATTGATGTTTTCTAGTGCTCTTTTTGACCCAGATATGGCTAAACGACGTCTTAATTTGCAGCAATCATGAGTAACATCATGCCACGCACAATTAAAATAATCAACAGATACGAAATGGTACAATCGTTAGCTTGAGTTGTGTTTTATTATTTGCATGCTACATTACCGTATGAAAAATAAATTAAATTAATGAAATAAATAGTACACGTAGAAGCCCTGGGAAAATTACAAAAAACTACCAGTTTTCATGATAAGTATAACCTCATTATGTATTTACAAGGTGATATTGCAATTTTAGGTCAGATGTCACCAGATAATATTAACGTAACATGTATTAATTTATATTTAGGTCGGGTAATTGACCTTTTTTCAGTCAATTGTATTGTATATTAACTAGTCAGGTACCTAGAATCTTCTACAATATTCGCAAATCACAATCACATTGAGACTCATTATAAATTACATTATAGTAATATATCAACATTTGAGACGGTTGTAGTTTCAGTGTTTGATACAACTCAATATATAAAGTAACAATTACTGATGCGAGTTTTTTCCGTCGTTATTAAGGGTATTACTGATTGTCAATATAAATTCATACTTACTTTAGGTAATACAATTACAAGCTGGGGCAAATAAATTGGCTTTTGACCTAAAATACAGCGAACGTTCATAAGTATTGATTACTACTGACTGTCAAATTAAAGTTTGCCGCCATGCAGTTATCCCAAACTGTTATGTTTCCACTAAAAAGTAGTATTGCCAGTGTATTGCAAATTCCTCAACTGACTATAGATGGTTGTTCATTGTATTGTTCATATAAGGTTCAGTGGTTGTTTTTTTAAAGTGTAGATACATATCTTAGCGTTTAATAATTATTGTTATACATCGAAAACTTTTCTACACGCGAATATAATAACAGGCATGTTACGAATATTTATACACAACACACAAGATTTGACCTACAAACAAATAAAAAAACAATTACGTATATCATTTGTGAAAATTCATCCTCTAGTAACAGGTGTGCAGTTTACAAGCTGCTTATCACGACTAAATGAATATAAGTCACTGATATGTGCTATCACTTTGTCATAACTGCTTTGCCGACACATCAGAAAGGTACGTCAGTCTAAGGTCGTCAATCTTAAATTAAATTTAAAATTTATATGTCGTGTTACATGTTACACTCATACTTTTTTTTTCATCTCATATTTGTTGATTTCTAGATGACACATTCATTTTTTTATGTGTTGTTGTTAACCACTGGGGCATATTGCCAGTGGGACCATCATATGAAAGATAACCGTCAGTCCATCGTCCATTTATTTGAGTGGAAGTGGTCCGATGTAGCTTCAGAATGCGAAAAGTAAGTAACTTGTGTTTAAAATATATTTAAATATATCTTGACAAGGCCCATCTCTTTGCTATGTGACACATGGAGTAATGGTGCGCATGGTTCACTACTTGGCCAGTTTGTTTGTGAATGACATTCTTAATGTCTAAACATGGTTTCAGTAAAGTTTAATGAATAATTCAGATCCGGTGTTATACATCCAAACTTCGTATTACTAGGCAAGGATGTTCTTCCTATCAGCCTGTGATCTTTATGTTTTCAGAACCGAATCCGCGCATATGTGTTGTGTATCTATTAGTTTGCACTGGTTTTCCCTGCATTGCATCACCATCCCCTACACTTCTCAAGTACTTTTTCTGTATTTGATTTTTTTATTGGAGAATACTGTCAAAATTTACATAGTGTATCCAGATACCTGGTAAATCACTACTAAAAAAAGTACACTGCCTTCCTGATGTTCAGCTTTATCCTGGGGCAGTATTATATTGAACATACATATAAGCAATATAGTTTAACTTTTGTTTTCTATACCTACACTTATATATAGTCTTCCTTGACACCATGATAAGGAAGTTTAACAGACACGGATAATCTTCATCACCCAACTAAATTTGTTTTTTGTCTGGAACCCATTTACACAATGAAATACACCTGTATTTGGCTGAAAAAAGGACCACAACTGGGCTACCGCACTTTGGATACCCCAGTTGTGGCCGGTTTATTCAAAAACCCTAACTATTTGGGTAAAGTGAACAAAATGCTTGAATAAGCGAAAAAGTTATTGAACAATCTTGAATACAATGTAACATATCAAGTTAATTGAATAAACAAAGTTTTTCTAAAATCCCTAACTCTTGACTAAAAGTAGCAAGTCAAGTTTGTTGAACAAATGACAAAGTTAACGTCACTG